CTGCAGGAAGTGGTTGAGGATCAGAGGATCCGGCGCTCCCAACAAATCCAGAAGAACGAAGAGAGCCTGAGAGACAAAAAGACCAATCAGAGCCCAGAGCCGACCCCCACCAATGATGTCACCGGAGGAAGGGGGGGAGGGGCATCCGTCTCCTTCATAGAAGATCACCTCCTCCATACATCTGCGTGTCCCCCCGTCATGTTCACTTCCTGCTGACTGACCCCTGACCTCTGCTCCCACCATCAACTCCTCCTCCTCCTTTCTTCATTGGAGGACACGGCGGGGGTCTCACCGAGGGGTTTATAGCGCCACCTTCAGGAGAAGGACAATAGTGGGCGTCTTCCTCGTGCCGGTGATGTTGGTGCGGTACGGAATGAGCGGGGATTTGCCGCCGGCACCGTATACTCATGCGCCTCATGCGGTGTACGCAGCCTCGGTTCTAGGGGCAGGTCGGAGGTCAGGGGTCGGGGGGCTATAAACGCATTGGTGAGATACCCGCCGTGTCCTTCCAGAGAAAAGGGATTTACGGCGCATATCAATAACCCGAAACGCACGCCGCATGCACTTCTCTAGCGCCAGAGACGGTGCTGCTCCACGCTGGAGTCCGTGCAGAGGGGGCGGAGCCAACCAACTCCTTCATTTATTAAGGTCATAGGACGACGCCCAGTGGGAGGCGGCTTTACCACATCAGCCCAACAAGTACAGGTACACATGAACAGGAGAGCACAGCAACATGGCCGACCAGCCAATCCCCCATCACTGGTGACCCCTGACCCCCATCACTGGTGACCCCTGACCCCCATCACTGGAGACCCCTGACCCCCATCACTGGGGACCCCTGACCTCCGTCACTGGAGACCCCTGACCTCCGTCACTGGTGACCCCTGACCCCATCACTGGGGACCCCTGACCTCCATCACTGGGTGGGGGAGGGGCTCATATACACCCGGCCATATAATATATCTCTTCATCCACTTACAATGGCGTCCAGCTGAGTCCCGCCTCCTCCCTGGATTGGCTCCTCCCCTAGACGTTCCGCCAAGTGGCGCGCCCCGTACAGCGAGTCGGTCTCTGACCATTCTCCGAACGCCTCCTCGCCGTCCAGGAAGTAAAGCTGCAGAGTGAGCGGAGATCCCTGGAGAGGAGAGAGATGTGAACGCCGAGCTCTGGCCAATCACAGCGCACCAATTCTGTTCAGCCAGTCCTCCCATTCCCGCCGCCTCCTCGTCCAATCACTGGCAGGAACTATCCGGTGCCGAGTCGCAGGACTGGCTGAACAGATGAGGGAAGCTGAGGGGGCGTCACCTTGGTCTTGTGCTGCTGAAGGCGACCGTTCAGCCCGGTGACCAGCTCCAGGATCATAGCGCAGGGCACCGCCGAGTCCGTGGCCCCAACAAAGGCCCGCCCCCTCCCATCAGGGACAAACC